TGTTTGGAAAAAGTTGCTCTTAAGTATGATAGAGACTACCTACCTTTTTTACAAAAGAGTTTGCATTTGTTTATTATCTCCTGTGCAAACAGAGAAAATTATCTACAGTGTCTATTCCCTGATGGCACCCAGAGGTATGCAGATTGCTGAGACCTTCCGATTTCTCAAGGTCAAATCAAACTGAAGGCAATCATTCCTCATCCAACTTAGCTGAGCCAAGTTGCTTGCTTTGGCACTGGTACCACATCCTAAAAAAGCATATTTTTCTTGCTTGTGGGCAGGTGGTTAGAATACCATATAGAGCTCGTTTTTGACTGTCAGGATTGAAATTATTTCTCAGCCAAGGGTAGACATAAGTACATCTGTTAACTATTAAATCATGGAGAAAAAACCTTTGCAAAGGCTCAAAAAGTACCTCAGATGTAAGAAAAAAAAGTCAGAATTTTAGACTAATTTCTGTAAAAATGACTAAAAAGATAAATGTAATTCTATTACATTCTGATCAAGAAAATTACTGCAACTCCTGTAGACTCTGTTCTTAAGCCAGTGAGAGTTTAACTACAGTTTGAGTGACAGTAGCATAGGTGGTTATTACTAACCTGTCAAAGACTTTGGTAAAACCTGATTTTTTTTTGCACACACCAGTATGGTTTTTAACAGCTATTTGAACACTATGTATCAAAATCTGTGTATTTTAATGTCTTTGTCTGTGCTATTCCTAAAGCAAACCTTTAAAATGGGAAGGGTAAGAGGTGTTAAACAGTCCTTATTTATTTTTACTTCAAAGATAGTAGGTTTCAGAAAGTGAAAGACTACTCTTTATTAGTAGAGGCTTTCTGAAATTTAAAAGATTGTTCAGTAATAATAACTCACGCTAATGATCTAGATATGAAATTAACAAATACTAAGTTAATTATTACTTACACCAGTTGTTCTCCTAAGAATTCATTCAAACATCTTCTAAATTTAATTAAAAACTTCATGTGTGAGAGCTATCAGAGGTCAAGATTACAGGCAAACTCAGAGAAATGAGTCTAAGAATACTCAACTAAGAAAGAAAAATAGGTTTTTACATTACTTTCAAAATATACGGTACATTATCAACTGCATTTCCTTTGTAGCAAAGGCCTCTCACAAGGAGTTGATGTAAAATTCCTGATGAGCTAATTGTGCTTTTAATTGATATTTGTCTTGAGGATTTTAGGTTTTGTTGTTGTTGTTCAAGAGTGCTAGAAGCATTCTGAAGTCATTTTTCACTTTATATAGTATTAATTTTTCACAGAAGTATTGATCATTATACTTACAATTGTTATTTATTTACATGGGCCTGAATCTGAAAAGTGGATGCCAGTTGCCTGCAAAGCTATCCTTAAGAAAAGGATTGAGTCAATACTTCTCCTTCTTCTCAGAAATGACATTGTACAATCTGTGTTAGTAATTTGTCCTTGTAGGATTGCACAAAAAGATGGGTAATAGGTTTTTCTCAGCACGTCTAGCTAAAATGGGTAGCTAATGAAATGAATGAATGGTAGTTTGTACGTTTAGGGCAAGAGCCATATCGCCAATGTAGCACACACATGTGGTCTCTTCCTTGCAATTGAGGCCAGAGATTAAAGTGTTTATTTCTGCAAGATTCATGTGAGAGAGGGGCAGTGTGGCTAACTGACTAATTTTGATTATGAAGCAATTTGTGCTCTCTTCACAGGATAGGAAACAACAAGTTTGGGGTTTTTTTGTTCTTAAAAAAAGTCAACATATTCTTTGCATCAGTAATTAAAAATAACCTACTGTCATTAACTGAATATGGCTTTCTGAAGCCTGTAGCCTGGTTTGCTTCCATGGATGGTTTATTGATCTGTTGTGGAGTAATTCAACAAGGAAATTACCTTGAAAATTAAAAACAATATTAAGTAATGGATGATCCAATTTACTGTAACATGAGCTTATTGCTGCAGTTCGCTACTAATTCATGCAGTGAAAAGCTCAAGGAAAACTTTGGCTTTCAAATTTCAACCTGCATTCCACAGGACAGTTTTTGCAGGAGAACTGCTGAAGTGGATGCAAAGTCCCTAGATAACTGCCCTATGCAAATGCTACACTAACATTTTGAAGGAATTGTCTTAGGAAAATGGATTTTCTTGTCTCTCTCTTGTTCACAGGTATACAGGTACTTATTCTTTTACGATATATCTTGAATTTTTTTCTATTGAATCTACATGTGGGAAAAATCTGATGAATTATATACCCCATACATGAAATGGCAGAAGGTTTTACATTTATCTGCTGAGCTTACAGAGGGATTTATCCATGCAGTATCAGTCCTACCTACTAAAGTAGATAATTAGAACTGCTGCTTCTGTTTCTTTTCCATTTCTTTTTCTCTCCCCTATTCCCTTAATACATTTATTAACATCATCAATTTTAATTCTATTTCCTCTAAGTCAAAACTTCTTGTGTACAATCATCTGCTTTTTTCAATATGAGAATTTGTACATAATTCCTCTTTAATCACTGTAAGAGACTTTTTTTTGCATAGTTGTAGCAATTTTTTTCTGGTTTATGGTGATTATTTCAAAAGTAGAAAAGAAATATGTATTTTCCTACGTTGTAGAAATAATAAAATGAACCAATGATAATTACTGCACTCTGTAATCTTTTTCTTTTTGCCTTAGGCCTTAAAGAACACACTATACACCCCTGTTAAGCCTTTCTATTTTCACAGGATCTCTGCAAATCTCTACAAGACCTGTACATGCAGACTAAATTCTTTCCATTTTTGTTTCCAAGTATTTATTGCAAAAGCTTTTTTTTTTTCTTTTTTTTCCTTCCTGTTAGTGATTTCCTAATCATTATAAAGGAGGAGATTATTTGGGGATAGGAGATTGTATCCGGTCTGAGATGAAGTCACTGACTGGCATTTGCCATATTATTTTCCTGACATTTATGAGGTAAACATGTACAGCAGAATTAACTTTCAAATCCTTCCACCCTTCTGGGTGAAATTCAGTCTTGTGCATGAAGTCTGTAAACGTACAAAACTTTATCACAATCCACTCTTCTATATTCCGGAAGATGAATGGAAGAGAAAATTAAATATTTTTTTGGCTATTGTTTGCCTTTATCACTGATGGAAGATATTAATTTAATAATTTTCAGTGTCTAATCAGACAGAACAGAATTAATGGCCAACTTCTCTCAACATATATCTTAAAACATGTTTCCAGTAAAATATAGTCTCATATGGTACTTTATAAAAGAAATTATCATCAGTGGGACAAAGCATTATGGAATCTCAAAACAGAAATAATTTTATTGTCCAGACTGTATGCCATATTTATTAAAAAAAAAAAAAGAGAGAAAGTACTGTATAGTGATAAATTGCTCTTTTAGCATAATTAAATTATTTCAGAACTACTCTTTGTGTTTAAGAAATCATATATTTACCAACTTAGGACATGTTGGTAATGGTTTAGGAACTCGGTCTTGAATATGGTATAATATGAAACTGTTCTAAAGAAAGATGAAAATCAGAGTCTTTTTTTTCTGCAAATAAGCAATTATTTTTTCAGCTTCCAATGAAAGCACAGGTAGAATTTCCATTAGAATATAGTTCTGGCATGCTCAAACTTTCAGATGTGAGAAAAAGCTATTTGAAAAAGCACTGGTTGGATTTTGTGACATGCAAAATAAATAGCAATTTTTTTATTTGACTAATAAAGTCAAATGAAGTTAATAAAATGAACTTTTGAGGATTCCTTATTCATCTAATTTTCATGGTCTCCAGGTTATTAATTCGCTTGTCCTTATAACATCCTCACCGCCCCCCCAAGCCAAAGAAACTTCACCAAAAACAGTTTTCCCATTTTGACTTGTGAACATCCCTGATCAGTGCTGTTGCACAGTTCAGCTGAATCTCCTGGTGAAGGTGATTTTCTCTCTTCAATTGATTTTCTTTAGTTTTAGAGTGTGTTCCTTCTTCCTCCTGCTTTGGGGGCTTACCTTCCAAACGGTGAAAAGTGATGAACAGCTGGAGGCAACAAGTTAGATCAAAAATCCGTTTCTGTCTATGGACAGACTTGGTTATCCAAAACAAAATAAGAGGTATCACTGTCTGTAGTCCTCTTTGTAAATGCTTCATCATGGTAATAATTTGGTGTGAATGATAAAATCACCTCCCTGCATGAATGCTTGCAGAATAACAGATCCCATCTGAAAGAAAGAAAAAGTGTATGGTAGAAGGCAGACTGGAATTGTGAAAATGACAGCTACTCGGGAACTAAATACAGGAATTTTGCATACTCTGCACCTCAGCTTTAGGACTCATCTGTAGTTTGTCATTTTTGTAATATCAGGGCATGCTGAGGCACTGCTTCAGTATGAATTTCTGTGGAGAATGGCTTGAATCATCAATGTCATTTTTTGCAGCCCTTGGCCTTCTTTTAGGGGTTTCCCTTAAGTTCATCCTGTTTAGCTTGTTACAGCTGAAGAAATCCTACCCCCAGGACATAAGCATTACAGGAATCCAAGCTCCGAATCTGAGATCAGTTCAGATATGCCAGACTATTTTTGATGAGTACCTGATGCTACCCCAGAAGAAAAGCATTCTCAATACAATATCTTTATGTGACTGCAACATGTGTCTACTGGCATTTACCTGAGAGAAAATCTCATTGTTCAAAGAATTGTTACTACAGAGATGGAAAAAAGAATCCCATAATTATATTTAACTGAAAAGTCTCTTGTTCCCTGTTGTGATGTGATTTCTGCCAAAACAACGTAGTAAACAGGCCCTGATAGTGCAACTAGCTCATACAAAATTGTAATGTATTTTTTCACCTGAGTAGCACTCTTGAAGTCTAAAGGACTTCAGCATGTTTTTTTTTAAGCAACTGTTGGATGGTATGCAAGGTCAAATTCCAAGACAATGAATATGTGAATCTTCCTAACAAAACATTGTATTTTTTTTTAACCGATTAGCCACTTTTTGTAATTCTTTTTAGAACCATGGGATACAAAAAGAAGTATGTGAAAGTTCCACACGGCCATATTTGGGTGGAAGGTGATCACCATGGACACAGCTTTGACAGCAATGCTTTTGGGCCGGTAAGTCAATTCTCTATATCATTTACACTTTGCAACTGAAAAGCAGCACGTCTCCTGGGTCATTTTGTGCAATACAGCAAGTATGAATTGATTGTGATTGTATCCTATTGTTTTTGTGAGAATTATTAGATTTTATAAAATGTCTTGGTCAGCGGAGAATGAGTTTGCTCTTAACTATTATAAAAAGAATAAAGACTCCTTTTAATTCCCCCACATGGAAGGAGAAGTGGTGGAGGTTTTAAATTTGGAGGGATGTACTGGAGGAGTAGCCAGAGGGTGAGGCAGCTCCCTGTAGCTGACAGACGCTCCCTGACGACATGTTGCCAGCTGATGTAATTTGGAATTGTTTCTTCCTGGGAGCTTGGTCTTGCTTTAGCGCCAGTGCTGGGATAAAGAATTAGGAAACCGTAACTGTGCTTAGTAAGTGTTAACTGTTAAATTGGTCTGTGGACGATGGTAGAGATATTTCAAAACTTTGCCAAAAATAAATATTTGTTTTCTTTGCATAGGGCCATTTTCATATTGAGTAAAGACAGAACGTAACCTGAAAAATCTGTTTCTTGACTGGTAAAAGTGTGCATCTCTTCATCAAGAAGACAGTAAATGCTTTCTCTGCACTCCAGTTTTGGTTTCGTTTTGGTTTTGTTACACTTTGTGTAGATTCCTGTTCTTTTAACTTAATCTAGCAGGCAGGAAATAGTTGCATAAGCTGTGCATCCTGCTGTGGAAATACAAATCCTTTTTGCCCTGTTCCATATGCAGGTTTTTGATATGGGTCTTTAGGAGAGAATACTGTTATAATATTATAAAAAAACCACGGGTTGCCACAGGGAAGTTGTCAAGGCTGGATTTTTCCGCCCTCATGCATTTCATACCTATTTTATACAGTCACCCCACTGGCTCTAATTGAATTAACGATAGCAAAGACCTTATGAGTTTGTCTGGCTTCTGGAAGTTTAGCCCAGTTACTAATTTGAAATAATTTGTTCCCAGGAAAAAATGCAAAAAAGGCCTACCATCTCGTTTGGAGAATGTGATGCCATTGCCTCTCTTCTGGTTTATCTCACCTTTTTTTTTTCTTGTATTTCTTGCTATTTTTCATTATTATTTTCCTGCTACTATCTTCTAAGATTTCTAACATCTAGTTTTAGAGGTTCTTTCCTGCAGGATTTCATTCAGTCTATCCTGTGCAGGTATCTTTTTCCTCCTTTAGTAGGCTTTTCCTTTCCTGTCTCACTCTCTATGCCCAAGATAAATCTTAGTCATAAAGCCACTAATCTTCTTTTCACTTACAAATGTATTGCCAACATAGACTCAGAGTATAAGGAAACTTTAGCAGTTGGGCATTGGTTTCAGACTTACAGCAGTTCACACAGAAATTAATACAAGGTAAAATCCTCAAGACAGGCGCCATGCAGCTTTCATACAAGATAGCATGTTGGGGTAAATCTAAATACTTTCAAATTTTTACTCAATTAACTAATGTTTATAAATATTGGAAAATCACCTTCACTAGGCTTTGACCTCACATTAGTCATCAGCTGCTAGCTAACTTCGGATAGTATGTCACTTTTCTTAGAGCAGTGGCACCTTTCGAGAGCTACTAAGACAGTTTTTGACAGTGAATTCTTTAGCTTTCTGCAGGAAGAATGGCCTTTGTATTGTGATGATGAATACATTATGGGCAAGTCAGCTGTAAATAGGTATTTTCCTCTGAAGTTAAATTAGAGTAGCAGTCATTGAATACAGGCGAAAGGGGACAGAAGAGATCACAGGGCTGGAAACTAGCTTGAGAATAATAAAATATTTTAAATTTTCATCTGTAGAAGAAAATGGAAAGTGTATTTAGAAGGACATGCTGGACTCCAGGTTCTTGTCCATTCTACACACGTTAGATTTTAGGTTACTGGGACATTTTCTACCCCTCTGTCTGCCATACTCTTGAGATCACTTGCACAAGTGAATTAAAATATTAAAATCACACTCTTCAAACCATATAGAAGGTATATTCTTCTTAAACACTTTTCCTCTCATAAGACTGGAGCAGTCATAAGGAACAGACTGCAGAATGGTAAGACATGAACTCATTTTTCTCATTTTGTTAGAATATAGGTCACTTAAGAGATTAGGTTAAATGTCACACATGTCACAATTCTGACTTGCAAAACCAAGTATAGTTTCTTGGATCAAAAGATCCAGTTAAAATAGTGTATTTTTAAAGTGGATTATGTTGTAGGCTACCATTTTTTCAATTTTCATGCAATCTTATAGTAGAAAGGCAAATATAGTGTAGACAGTCAGACACAGTAATGTTTTGTAGATGAGCTTAATGAGTTACATGGGGCATAAAAGGAAATTATGGGAAAACAGATTGAGAACAGATGTTAGAATCATTTTTTCTCTTGGAGAATAACACTGTGTAATGGCCTAATGGGTTAGGTTGGTAAAGCAAAAACCCTGATACCAATCAGGTTCTAAATTAGATGCACCTTTGGAGAAGTATGAATTTCTAAAATGTAAAACCTTGGCAGATTAAATTATCTTTACTTTGTTCATGAAAATATTATAAAATAAATTATATTATCTCTTGTTATTGCATGGTTTTTATAGAACTAAAATTGGAATGTTAAGGCATAGAGAGACATTTTCCTGAAGTGTGTAAATAAAAGGCAAATGTTTTAACTAAGATTTGTAAAGGTTTAATATTTCCTTTCTGCTTAGTCGTATCTGAATAAAATTAATACCTTAACTGGTATGACAAAAATAACAGGACATCTGTGCGTAGTGCTGAATTAGAAAAGCTGTTAACTCTCTATATGATCAAAACTTAAATATTCATTACCTTTTCAGAATATTGGACTCAATTTAAGTAGTGCATGGTTATTGTACATTGTCTTTAAAAAAAAATGCTTTGTGCAATACAGAATGGCAGGTGTTATATAATACTATTGCTTTGATACTGCTGTGTTTCAGGTTTGGAAATTTGTCATGTCAGCCATTCATAATGCTGAAAATAGCTGTTTTGACTAGAAGCCAATAAATATTCGGAGAACTTGCATCTTTTTACTATTATTTAAGGAGATAAAAAATTACATATCGCTGGAAAATTATTTCAATTACCTGGACTAGAATAGCAATTTCTACTCAATTAGCTGTTACTGTTTTCAAATTCTTATAGAATGAAGTCAAGCTTTTATGATATTAGCTTAGCATTTCTTAATTGGCATACTACAGGAATGTAATCATGAATAGCTTATATAATTATGATACCACTTTTTAAATTTTCTCCTTTTTGTTTTCAATTCTGGTAATTTTCCTATTTTGGGGGGCCTTTTTACTGGAAGGTTGTAGTTCAACAGCATAGGAAATCTAACATTACTGTTCCTGGCAATGCTTCTGCTTTCTTAGATCAGAAATGCAGGAGACACATTATAAAGAATTGATCAAGTATTAAACTCCTCTGCTGCTTCAAATTTCTTAAAGATTTTAAAAGGTTAACTTTATGCCAGATCAGTTATTGTCTTTGCTTGCACAGCCAGGATAATACCAGCATAAAAACAAAGTGACAATTTATATTCTGGATCTGGCACTCTGGCTAAATCAAGGGAAAAGTCATTACAAACTGTACTTCATCCAGATCAAATGTGTAGCGTTTGCATCCAGCAGTGCAGAGATGATTTGCAACCAACATGTAAGGGTATTTGAGAAACAGTTATTAATAAGTGCATATAATAACTGATATATATATATATTCCTGGATGTACACACATGCAGTGAATAGCACTCTCAGAATTTAAAAAAAAAAAAGTTCAATTTTATCTTATGGGGATTTGTTTGGTAAATGTAATAGTCTTATTACTACATTTCTATGTTTCCAAATGCCTCCAAGCTGAGGATATGCAAGAGCTTTATAAAATTAGGGCTTGAAGTCAATGGTAGTCTTTCAGCTGTCTTATAAAGGACCTGAACAAAAGCTCATTAAAGTCAATGAGAGATTTCTATTGGCTTTAATGGCTTTGGATAAGACTTTATGAATTAAGCTTCACAATCCAGTATAAGGGCAAAAAGGCTATTATCCTTCTTATCTTCCTGGGAAACCTGAGACACAGGTAGGTTGAATACCTTGTCATAAAATATTTTTTTGGCTCAGCCAGGTCCCTATCCTAGTCCTTTTACTAAAAATACATCTATCTTTTAATGTGTTTACTCTCAAATCTAAATCACATTGAACCTGAGCCTGGCTTTTGGTTTAACAGAAGTTTTACATTCATAAGCTTCAAATGAGTATATTGCTTTTAGTCAGCATTACTGTAGAGGCCGTATTTATGATTGTCCATATAAGCAATTCTGTACTGTAAGTTCATGCAATAAACTATCTGAAAAACATTCTTGTCTGTTTAACTATTTTTTCTTTCAGCAGCACAAACCTGTAGACTGTGACTAGAAAACTCCATAGACTAGAATGACATTCAAAATAAGTGAATATGCTGAGTTTGTTAGTTATTTAATTTGCTTTTCAAAGGCTATCATAATCTTTTTCAGATGTAAGACAGAAATGGTTTAACTGTTAACCCTCAATGGGCAAATTCAATTAATAACAGTAATGGAGTGTGGCCTATTATAATTATTTTCTTAAACTGATCCAGTATTTCTCTCTGTAACTACTGTTAGTGAATACAAGTAGTCAAAACCAAAAAAATATGAAAAGTTCATTAGACAGTAAGGTGAACTGAAATAAGACAGCTGCTGAAATAAGCAGCTGCTTCTGCGTGACTGCTGGTAAAGGAAATATTTGAACCAGGAGGTCTGCAGCCTGTGAGAGTAGCCCTGCTTCATATGCTCTGTCTTCTTCTAAGAGAGGTTCAGAGGACAGCTGAAGGAAGAAGCAGATATCTTTCCACAGTTCTGGATTACTTACATAATAGCAAACAAAGAATGCCATGTGTCCTAAAAGTGCACATCATCCTGGTGATGATCCTGCCATCTGCCGAAGCTTTCAT